TTGGTATCAAAGAATTATAGTAAGCACACATTAAAATCCCAATTCAGCTATGAAGCCAAGGCAGGAAGATTCCAAGTTCAAATCTAGCTTGCGCAACTTAGCAAGACCGTCTCAAAATTAAAAGGGGTCACAGATGAAGTTCAGTGGAAGAGTGCTTCCTTAGATGCATCAAGGCCCTGGGTTCAATCCTCTGTACTTGAAATAAGGCAATTCAAGAGACTTAAAACTGAAGCAATTTTATTCCTTTGTATCTTTGCCAAACAGAACATGCACTAAATAACATTTATGATAGCTGAATGAAATAAATATAGGGAATATAGGGAATATTAAAATATTCCCTAAATAAAGTATAGGGAATATTAAAAGCCATAAACAGGTATCAAATGTAGAAAATCACAAAAGAAAAAAACGTTTAAAACAGCTCTAAGCCAGGCGTGGTGGCACACGCCCGTAATCCCAGCACTCAGGAGGCTGAAGCAGGAGGCTCATTGTGAGTTTGAGGCCAACTGCACAGCAAGACCCTATCTCCAAAAGACAAGAAAAGAGCTCTAACTTTACAGTTCCTTTTTACTCTCCAACAAGTAATCACATTTCAATATATACTAATGCTCATCACTAAGTGGACTATCCCTTTATTTTGCTATTCTCCCAGCTCCCAAAATAGTGCTCCACTAGAGTAAAATGTAAATTTAAGTACAAAAGTTAACTTGCAACATCAAAAACTGAAGTTTTCCATCTATTATAAAGAAGCAATAGCCAAAAGGACATGCTATTCATTGTGTACTACCTTCCCACACAAGACAGTATCAGCTGAATATGCAAAATATTAGGCATTACTAAACTGTCCATAACATATTCTCACATCTAACACTGTATTCCCAAAGGATGAGATCCGAGCCTGAGCCTGCCCCCTACTCCAACTACCCAATTTAACTCACAGGTCCTCCAGTGACCAACAACAGTAAGGTTAAAAGGGAAAACAAAACAAAACTTTGAATTTCATTAAAATCTGCTGGGCATGATGGCACTTCTTAATAATCCCATCTAGTCCAGAGGCTGAGGCAGGAGGACAGATTTTGAGGCCAGCCGAGGCTATATAGGGAGAACCTGTCTCAACATAAAAAATATTTTTAAAAGGGGTGGGGGGGCCAGGCATGGTGTCGCACGCCTGTAATCCCAGCACTCGGGAGGCTAAGGTAGGAGGATCATTGCGAGTTCGAGACCAGCCTGGGTTACAAAGTCTGTTCAAGGCCAGTCTGAACTGCAGAATGAGACGTCTCAAAAAAAAGACAAAGAAAAGGGGTGGGGTGTGGATCAGTGACAGCACTTTCCTAGCATGTGCAAGGCCCTGGGTTAAATCCCCAGCGTCCCCATCCCCCAAAAAAAATCTGGAGTATGTGAACTTTAAAAAATGAAAACTTGGTCTGGCATGGTGGCACATGCCTATAATCCCAGCAATTGGGAAGCTGAGGCAGGAGGCTCACTTGGGCTATCCAATGCCTTGAAGGCCATTCTGAACTGCACAGCAAGACTCTGTCTTTAAAAAGCCAAAAAAATAAAAAAATTAAAAAAAAAAAAACCAAGCTAAATAAACTTCAAAGTTACCAAACTCATAATTTGGTTTAGTAGTTTAGCTTTTACCTCACCACAATAAAATAAACGTGATGCCACAATCTTCATCATCTACTTAAGAATATTTGCAAAGGAATAAAAATTTGAAATATGTAATCTGCCTTCCTTTAACATTCTTCTAAAGCTGAAATGATTATGAAATACTCTTACTAATGTTACCAGATGTGAAATATATGTCCCCAGACTGGAAAACATCTTAACCAAACATAAAAATTAAACATCCAATATTTCTGACTCCCTTCAGAACTTTGACATACATTCAAAAGTACATTTCACAGGGGAAAAAATAAACCTGACACTAAACAATGCAGAACTATAAAAAATAAGGCATTTACCTTAGACCTTAAGAACACTTCACAAATATATTAATTAAAGAGATGGAGGGCTTTAATTGCAATGCACTTTTACTGCTAATGGGTAATGGTAAGAATGTTCTTTATAGAAATGATTTGAATAGTTTGCATATCAACTTTTAACTAGTCTTAGCACCAGTTCACTCAAAAGGGGGCTGATTTAAATTGTTTTAAAATGTAAACACTCATTTCATTTCCGCTTAAAAAAAGGAACCCCCTCCACCCTCCCTGCCAGTCTCCGATACCTTAGAATACTATATTTTTTTCACAGAGGAAAGGAAGGGCTAGTAAGTACATTTATTTCCCAATCCGCTTCTTTACCCAGTCATTAACCATGTGCTGAAACTGAGTTCAGCTACCTAGATCTTCCTACCAGGAATGCTCCCTATGGAACCCCAATTCCTTCCACTGTCACTACAAATGCCAAAGCCCCTCCTATTAATAGTAAATCCCTTTCATACTGACTCATTCTAACTCCAACTTGACGAAATAAGACACCGAGCAGAATTTTTAAAATCTGCAAATGGAATATTCCTATTCTCAATGGATTTAAAAGGAAAGGAAAACTAGAGCACTTTCAGACTAAGTTGCAAACATTTACAGTCCAATCAATCAATTTATAAAAATTTGTTTGTTCTACACTAGTTCAGTTAAAGCATTTTTTGGAAAGTTTGTGTTGCACATTGTGTATTTATGTACAAGGCTGTTTCCCGTGTAAATAATTGTGATATCCAAATATAAACAAGTCATTACAGTAAGATTGCAAAACAATTCGGAAATTTTTTTTAAGAAAGGAAATCTTCAAGCACACATAAAAGTACAAAGTAACAGTGAGATCTCCTGTACTTCCAGCTACAATTATCAACGCAAGGCTACTTTTGTTTCATCCCTGCCTCCTATCTATTCCTTCCCCTCAATATTATCTTCAAAAAGGAAGAGGAAGACACTGTGCTGAGTAAGTACACTGAGAAAAACCCAAAGGTAGCCAAAAGTATCAGGCTAACAAATTAAGTCAAAAATGCAACAATATAACTGCGCAGGCACCCTACATAACTCTTAGATATGATAATAAACTCCTTTAAGAATTCAGCTAAAAACAAAGAAATAACCATCTTTAAGAATTTTAATGAAGTCCACAGGACCCAATGGGTACATTTGAAAGTACACTTAAAAGGATAAATAGGAATACGTGGTGAAAAAGAACTTAAACCATTCGCAATTAGCTTGCATTCACGTAACATCTTAGCTTGAAATGAAAAAAAGACTATTTAACATAATGTGCCATAAAATTGCAATTCAATCACTTGAAAAATCGCTGAATACTTATGCTCTAACTGGTCCTTCCGATCCCTAATTATAGACTGATATCAACGTAGAAAGAAAACCAGGCATTTTAACCTAAGTGGCTTAAAACGTTCAAAATTAACCCCAGTGTTCATTGCAAAAATATATGAAAGCAAGTCTAAACTACCTGAATTGCACGTCATTAAGCCGCAATGTATCCACTTTCCAGAGCCTTTTTTTAAAAAAATAAGTTCACATATACCCTTAAACGCAACACGCTAGGTTACAGACAGAATTAGGAGACCGCCTCCTGCTTTTGCTTCTAACCAATGCGCAGAGAGAGAAGGTTGGCAGGAAAGTGCTGCGAGGACAGTAACAAACACCAGCAGCTCCGGAGCAGGCCCTGCTAGAGCCAGGAATGACGCACTTCGGTAACCCGACTCTTTCTCCCCTCCACCCCCCGCCCCCAGCAGCGGCGCTGACACCGCCAACAGCCCGGAGTAGGGAAAAAGACAACAGAAAAAAGGCAGAGCCTGGACCGCACCAGGTTTCATCAAGAAAACCTCGATCATTCCTCTTTCGACACTAACCACTAGGACTAAACAGGAAAGGAAGCTTCGTGCTCTAGCAAGTCCCATCATGGTGGTTTAAGAGTCACTAAATTAAGCTGATAATGAGTCCAATCCACAGAGACAAATACAGGGTGTGGCTGCCGTGAAATAAGGCGGTCCGTGGGAGAAAAGGGGTATGGAATTTACACTCCGGCGTGAAGGGAAGATGGGGCTCGGGGGGGTGGCGGGGAGGCGGCCCGCGCATTTTAAGGAACCATTGCAAACCAACACAAGCTCCTGGGTTACTTAAACCTAGCCCCACAGATCAAAAGTTTCCAGTAGATCTATCACGTAACCTATAAATAACCATTTAATCCAAAAGCACGTCCCTCCATTTAAAAACTATAGCCAAGGGAAAGGAGGGAGAGTGACGGGGTGGGCAACAATATAAAAAACATCCTAGGCCAAGGAGAAGAAAGTCTCACACACCGGAGGGAAGTAGTAATGCCATAATTAAAAATTAAAGCCGAACACCGAAGCACGAAAAAAAAAAAAATCACACGATAACCCATTCCAGTAGAGAATTAAAAATAAAATGCTACATACACAGAGGAAGAGCAGAAACTAAATGTCGAAAGTACAGCGGTTTATAAAAAAACTAAAGGCAAAAGAAGACGTTCTCGCGACGGGAGGGAAAAAAAAGGCCGAAATCAACAATACGTTTACGATCCTAGGCCAGAAGAAAATGGGAACGGGGCTCAAAGTTTTGCGGAACTACTTGATGCTGTTTCCCACACCTTCTCTCTCCCAGGGCCCATCCGACCCTATTCCTCCTCAAATCGCCGTCCTCGGAGCTCGGTGCGCGATAGAAGAAAAGAGAAAGTCGCCCTCAAGCAAGAATAAAAGTGTGGAGGGAAAAAGCGAGGCTGCCTACCTGGGGCACGATCGGCTCAGTCCGTGCCGTGAGAAAGACGTGCGGTGGGGGTGGGAACGAAAAGCAGCACTAAAACTAAAACAAAAGTGGCGCCAAAACCCCCCAACAAACAGCCTTCCACTCCCGCCCTTCCCCCCTCCGCCCATGCCAGGCCGGCAGGGCCCCTCCGGGGCAAAGGCTGCGCGCGGGGGCCGGCGCCGCCAGCCCCCCGCCTGTTTCGAAAATTGGTGCCCTACGAAAACTGACCGAAGTCGGGCCTCGGAAGGGATGAAGAGATCGATGCCAACCGCTCTCCGAGCGCTTCCCCACCACGCGCCGGGGATGTGGGGCGGGGGAGCAGCAGAGGGGCCCGTCACATGAATGTTGTTCCCTCTCTAGGAAGGGAGGAAGGGAGGGAGGCGGGAGGGAGGAGGGGACGCGAGATGGGAGGGGGCACGAGGGAGGGGTGTGATCGGAGTAGATTTTCCCTCGCCTCCCTCGGTCCGAGGCCCAAATAGACACAGGCGAGCCCGCGCCGCTCCCCTCCCCCCGCCGCCAGCACCACCATTTTGCTCCCTTCCTTCCCCTCGCCACGATGCCGCGCTCCCCGCCAGCCCCGGCCTCCGCGGCCTGCCTCCCGCAGGCTCGCACTCCACCCCACCTCCGGCTCCGGCTCTCCTCGGCGTGAGAGCCTGCCGGAGAACAGAAACCTACACCTAACGCTACACAGGGCAGCGGAGCCTCCATCTTGCGCTGCTCCGCGTTCTCCATTTTGGGCCACCCATGGGGGGGTCCTCCGTAGAGCCCCGAGGGAGAGGGGGGCGAGGGAAGGAGGAGGCAGTCTTCCGCGAGGGTAGGCGAAGAGAAGAGTCCTGCGGTAGAAAGCCACTCTGGGAGTAGGAGGTAGGGCGGAAGGGGGGCTGGAAGTTGCTCCGAAGTGCGGGGCAGCGGCGTGCGGGAGGACGGAGGGCGCGGGGCGCGGGCGCGAGGCGGCCGTCC